GTTGAACTTCAAAATCAATTGTTGACATTGGACGAGAAGACAAAAAAGATTGCTATGAAACTTGTGATCGTTATCCTTATCTGATTTCAGATCTTGTAGATAAAGTGTAGAGATATTTACAACGTTGTGTGTCAGTGTGTACATGTGCCATGTGGCGTGGCGCGCCGCGAGCTATGTAAGTCATAGGGGCAATGGGTTAGTTGCCTATGCGGACTCTGTAACATTGCAGGCTAAGATTATTAATATATATTTAAGTCTTATGACATCCTAGTACTTTATATGTTAGGTTTAAAGTCTATATTGCTCTGGCATCATTATCCAATATTAATGCTCCCAGAAAGTTGTTGCTCTTTCATTTTTTCCAACGGTTAAGGTAAATAAGTATTGACATAGGTCAACAGGAAAACTTCATAACCAAAGCAAGTACCATAGCAACATTTCAAGGCATTGTACTTTAATTTGAAGATGAACTCAAATAACCTAAACATCTAAATACATTTCAATAACCTGTTCTTACTTCCATCTCACAAAAAATTAATAACTAGCATTGCACACATATGCACGTCCTGTTACGCACACATGTATCGGTGCCGACGCGTATGACGTGTGCGCGCCGCTAGACCACTTGTGACGTAGCGACACTCCCGCGCACCTACAGCCTGATTACTGATTCAGATCCTGTTATCTATTGTATGGACATGCCAATGAATTCCTCAAAGTGCTTATATGGAAAGTTATCCACAAATTAACTGAACAATATCTTGACTAAGCTGGCATTTGGAACTATTTAAATGTATAGAATTTGAATTCAAACCTCCATCATAAATAACTTTTTAAACTGTCTTAATAATTTAACTGAAGTTAAAATAAGTATTTTTTTTTTCAGTTTTTTTATCGTTATATTATTAGCGGTCGACCGCATAGTTACTACAATGGGCAACCAGCTAATTTGAATAGCAGGCTCGTTTGCATATCTAGTGCAATTCGACGATTGACCAATAATAAGTTGTTATAAAAGATATTGCGGTGTTGTAATATTTGTATTGCTAATGTATTAAGGTTTATTATTAATTTTCTTCGCGAGTTCGAGTTTATAGAAAGCTTGTATCAAAACCGCAATGAATAAATACATTTTTAAATAAATAAAACAACTATCTGTTTTATTTATTTAACGTTACAAACGATTTTGATTAAAGTTTTTAATAATAATTTTACATTAACACAAAATTGTGTCTATTATCTTAATTCGGGGGGAATTAAGATAATAGACACAATTTTGTGTTTAGGTTCAGTATTTGATGCCATTCAAAGACCAAAAATCAGTTCCCTCAACAGCCCTAATTATGTTCATCTCAATTATCAAAACGAAACAGTTCCATTTCTCAAAGGAATCATCCTGTACGTTCCTAACACGGTAATATTATTAACCACGGCACACGACTCAGTGTCCGAGTCTCCGAGTCAAGGTGGCTCGGTACAGTTAACCATTGTTTACATATGCGCGCGACTGTACCACGCGTCGTTATGAGCAACTGTTCGCGACTGTACCAGTCTCCGTATGCTAATGTTGATAGCTTTACGAGTATGCTATTAGCCGTGAAGATCCTCATATACAATACGCAGGCTTTTGTATTGAAAGTTTCCTTATTTAAATAAAGAAATATCGTGGACTGATGTTGAAGTTATTGCTGCGGTTTTTTGAAGTAGCTATATATGATGAGTGATATTTTTTCGATTCAATTTATTAGATGGCCCTTTGTGACAAATGTAGTTACATAAGCAGATTGCTAATAGTTACAGTTGCGATTTTTCACGTATGATTTCACATATCTTTACTTCTTTAATTATCAGACTAAACAGCTTCTTTATTACAGGGAAAATCCTCAAAAGGCGCTTAGCTTTTTAGACCAAACAGGTTACATATTTCCTATCGGAAACCCATTTCCGACGGGTGACACATTTTTGTAATATAGATTAAACTAACTAAGTACATATTCTTTTTCTATCTTATTAATTGTTCATAAAAATTGCAACAAAGTGTTGTAACTATTCACAATGACAGCTGCCCCCAGTGCACTCGCGTGCATTGAATCAATTGATGGCACCTCTTAATGGGCTGGCGCTATAAACCTGCCAGCCCCTTTTTAAATATAAAGCGTTATATTCACTAACCTAAGTTGACAGGTGGAGGAAGAACTTTAACTTAAGTCTTGTGATAAAACTTATTAAAGGCTTCGATAATTGAAAATTGTTTCATAAACACGATGTTAAGTGCTTAATACATTGATAGATATTGCTTCGAAGTGGACGGCCCTTTCTATGTTTTATTTACCTAGCGTGCGTTGGTATTTATTTTGTAATTTTCTAGTAAGTAAAAATCTTGTGTTATGAATATTTGTAAGATTAATAAAAGGATAATCTTTGGAGATTGATCCATTAAGTACCTAATAAGCATTACTACAAGGACTTCTTTTAATTATATAACATTTAACGAATTTTTTTTACGCAAACTGATCTAACCTACCCCTTTGATTACGTAGTTTAAGGCAAAGACAAAGCTTCATAAAGCCTCATATTTTTAATTGTCTACAGACTATAACGTGGAATAATAAGCAAAAAGTTTTTAACGGAACTATCAGTATTTTTTTTATTGCGATACTATTATTAACGGCTACGTCATAGGTCGTTCACCGAAATACGAGCCAGTAATTATTTTCTGTTCACTACTAAAATGTACATGGTTGCAGGTGGTTGAACAACGTGTGGTGTAAGTCAGGAGTGCATCGCGATTCAGGTTTTTATAGTTTTAGTAGTAGTTTTGTCAGGCTTTTATACTTTATGGTTGTATGATTAATAATGTGTGATAATATTTTAAGATATTGTTTTTTTGATAACGCATAAAAGCCTTTCGTGATAAATAGTGAAACAAAATGTTATCCCCCATTGTCTCCAAGTACCTTCCACAGAACACACTGCACACAATAATTATCAAAATATTTAATTTCTGAAATCGCACCCCGCTTTTAACTTAAACTAAAATTACGTTAACCGCCGTTCGATCGGACAAATGAGCTTAAATAACAAACAATATGTTCATTTCCACTTCTGACTAAAACAATGACCGGACTCTGGACTCTGATCGTGCGAATATAAATGTGTGGAGATAACATCTTTACTTTATCATTTATTAAGTGAGATCTACATTAATAGATAAGTCAAATTCCCATTTCTATATTTTAATTTAAATGTGTTTATGGAGTATTATTTTTTCATCTTTTGTTAATTAATATTATCATATAATATAAGCTTTTATATATAGTTACAAATGAAATTAAATGTTGTGAAATATTACCGTATTACGTGATATTAATGATATTAATTATAACTTCTGGATCTTTAAAGAAAAACATAAATACTTACTTTTATTTACAAAATGTCTGATACTATTTTGTTAAGTTATCTTGTGCAACAATCAAATAAAATAAATCACTTTTAATTTATAGTTCAAGAAGAATATTTAATATCGATTTTTGAAAAACGAATCATAAATTATAACTGTGTAGGAAGGTACTCAAGTTAGTTTTACTTAAAATATTATAAACTATTCGATAATAAATATGTACCTACTTAACTGAATAAGCTTTATACTTCACAAGTGACCACGATATTTAAATACTAAATCACTGTTATCCTGCTAATACATGGTTTTTGTGAACAAATATTGACCAAGCCTAACAGCGTGACACCGCGTTTTGTGTTACGCCGCCAAAATGGCAGTTTTTGTCAATTTTCCCAATGTATGTGTAACAAAACTTTTACTTGGTAAATAGAAAACATTGTTCAGTCTATTTCTTATTGCTTTAGTAGTAAGGTTGAAAATAAGCGATTGTCTTTATTTACTCAATGGCAAGAAAACTTTTACATTTCGTGTCATCTCGCTAATACGGTTTCTTACGGTTTGATTTTGTTTTGTTGTTACTACAAATATTTTAGCTGAAGTTAAATCATTATTTGCTTGTGTTATACAAGTCATTGTATGTATTATTAATGTCGGAGAAATGCTTCATTACTGTTTTCCTTATAGCAATAGCAATGGTGGTAAATATGAACAAACACTATTTAACATTCGCATAAAATAATTAGAGTCAATCCAACGGAATTTTTATCTACATATCATATGCAACCTAAAACATTCGATATATCAACTTTGATGTCGCTCAAATGAATATAAAATATAACTCCCAAGAATTTTGGCTCTATATTATTAAAATCATTAATCAGAGAAAACTCTTGATTTTCTCTTTTGAACCATAAATCTGACAAAACCGTTCCCATAAAATATTATATCAAAACTTCATTACAAAAATAAACTCCCGCGCTTTAGCGCTAATGTCCATAGAAAAGACATCAACGCGCGGTACGGTGACCTACTGCCGTTTCACCAGTGTGAGTGAGTATTCGTACTACGCTGTTTACGTTCTTGTATATGTGTGTGAAGTTGTAATTACGCACACACACAACTCGGGTACTTGTTAATGATTTGAAAAATATGTTATGACTAAGCAATTTTGCAAGTGAAAGTGTAGTACCTATACACAATATTTTTATATGATACTAACACCTCACAAGCGGTGGGTACTGTTAGAGGAATATGGCGGCGATTGTGTTCATTGGAAGAATCTAACTTGGAACTAAAATGAAACATAAGGAAAGAAGAATGTAGCATAAAAATCATTTAAAATAATAAGTACCTTCAACCGAAGAAATTATTGCTTGTTACATTCCATCCAACGAGTGATAATTGTAACTCTACCAAAGTATTTTCCTACATATTACTCAAGTAACCGTTTAACCAGTCAAAATGCCATAGAATTTGAAATCAAGAACCACTGTCCCATATATCAGCGTGACACATAATCCTCCAATCAATCCATCTAATACACCGCCATTAAGCGCACACATATAAACCAAGACCACGCCTACCGTTCGTGCAAACACACCCACACTATCATTTGTGCGTTAGTGTGCGTCATCAACTTTCTTTCACAGTCGCAGGCGCACCTCGTTTCTTGCAACCGTGACATTGTAACTACTGCGAACAAGTCCGTGAAACTTCGCAAGAACTTGAACGTTTAGAAATAAATTGTCAAGCAATTTGGACTTTTATAGAGGCTCTACTGATTTATATTATTCTTTGAAGGCAGCAGTAGCGTCCAACTGATTAATTAGTTTTTGCTTGTACAATTTAGAACTCAGGATCAACTCCTAGTGTCTTGAAGACTTTCAAACAATTCATGTCATCATTAACTGGATCAGTTTTGACATCAAACTAATTCTTATATTTACTTGTATATGCGTAATAGCATTGATATTGCAATCATTGACAATTCCACTATTCTAATAACAAATTCATTCAAATGGCAGTTATGTGTCTGTCCATCACACTGCATCACCATCACACATCATCCATCATCGATCACATTCTGTCAGCAACAGTTAAGTTACTCACAACTTTAAGTTGTATAACTTAATTTACGTACAGCAGCTACTTAGATCCTTGATCGAGGCCAAGTGTATCTTTATTGTGGATCTAACACAATAATGATCTAGAAGATCTATAAATCCGATAGTGATCGATTGATCGCTATATTATGCGCAAGAGTGTGCCGCTGTGAGCAGTAATGCAGGCTTTGTTTGTGGTGCAGTGAAATTGTGGTAACTTAAAGTTTACGATACACTGCCTGCATGCTTTATACCTGTAAGCTATCTGTTCAAAACCAGATTGATTTGTTTACATTGTTGAATACGTATTAGATAATATGCACCGGAGAAAGAATTGTTTTTCGGGTTATTTAATGAATTATTATGAAGAAATATTAGGTGTTTTGAATCATGTCTCTACATACCTACTCGATGAAATGGATATTGTTTGTACGAATTTTTTTCATGTAGTGCAGTGTACACAGAAAATGTTTCCATCAGTATAATATTTTAATTATTGTATTATCTGATACTTCTGTAATTTACCTACACAGGTCGGTGCGCGGGCGCACGTCCCGTTTGCAATTAATCTCGCGCTAATGGCGGCCACTGACAACTTTATTGGGAACACCCTCGTCATGATGGAGTTGTTCCGAGTTTTTATTGGGCAGCTCAGTGACAAGTGGCGACCTCTTTGTACTCAGTGTGTCACTTGCTGACTGATTGGAAAGCTTACAGCAAACTTCAATGCCTTCAATGGTCGGAAAACTCGACTACTGAGATTGAGATGTCAAGATCGGAATCAGGATAGAGTTAAATATTTTTACTTCGTTCAATTTTAAATCCTGTATAATTATAGTCTTATCTTTTCTTTGATAATGAGCTATAAAACTCACACTGTAAGAACTCCTTTGTATGTCCCTTAGGGAAACAACGCAAGCTATGTCGGTAATATTTTACGATTGACACTTATGTCAACCGTAAAATATTACCGACATACATAACTTGTTACCGCACATGACTGGTCAATTTATAAAATAATGTAAGGAACGAATTACTTATAGTTTACATGAAACGGGAGTCAGCCTGTCCTGCTGTTACACGCTCGCGATAAAGATGTCAGTGTCAGTGTAAAACTTCATAAATATAATTATTTTACAAGGGACATGTTAAGTGAATATTTTTTATTTTAGTACATGTAGGAGTAGGGTGTCTGATATGCTTTTAAAGATTCTTTGTTGGGACTTAAAAAAATGAAACAAAACAAAAGTTAAACATATTTACGTTAAAAAAGAGAAACTTTAACATTTATATTAAATTACTAGCGGCCCGAACCTGCTTCACACGCGTCTCCCACTATCTCGCTTACGACCAAAGTGTCCCTATTTCCCACATCTCTCCTCTACTTTTCTAGAATTTTCTTTCATGAGAACCTTCACCTGACTATAACAAACACATCAAAAAAAGAATTGGCTAAATTGGTCCAGGCGTTGTTGAGCTATGCGCTTACCAACACGTTTTGCGATCCATCCATTCCACTCAAACAAGTTCCTCACTTCATTTACTTAAATAACATAAAATGTAATCATTGTACATATATTCAACAATACACACTCTCATGAATGATTAAATTCTACACACACAAACTCATCAATTCACATATTAACGGTATCTCGACAGTTCTGTGTGTAATGTATGAAATTTTGAAAAACGAACAAGTTGATGAATACCGTTAGTGACGTCACGTTAGTAAAGCACATTGTTTAGAAGTTAATTGGAGCATTACGTAACAATAAATTAATTAATATTTTTTTATAAGTTTTCAAACAATTCTTTTGGTAGCAAATGTGAATATTAAAAAAAATATTAATTACAGTATTACCAGTTTTACTTAGTAATTTTGTATTTTGTAATGTTAAACCAAAAAGTGCAGTTAGCTTTGTCTGTCAACCTGTATTTATATGAAGAACTTTAAATAATATTCATTTAATTAATTTCTTAGTATAATCAACTTATTTGACATACATCAAATTACATATTTATTTCAAAATCTGATGTTGACACTGTTAATAATTTGACATTAATTTTATTGTCTTCGGTTGCTTTCGGTTCGGTTTATCGCTAACACTATCTGGAGCGACGGTGGTCAAGATTGTGAACAAGATAAGATAAGAAGAACACTCATAATGACTTATTTGAAATATTAAGTAATCTTATTTGGTGGTCTAGTCATATTGTTAAAGATTTTAATATGTAGTTAAGATAATATGGATAAGGTGCATGTGATATGTTTTTGTTATTCTTTCATTGTCGAATAGAAAAGATACAGGTTGTTCGGTTTGCAATGATTATAATTAATTGTTTTACCCAATGTTTTATACTTACTACTACTAATAATTATTATACTCATAATAATTATTAACTTATTACTTTTTATATATGTTTTTTGTGGGATACCAATATACACACTGAATAAATTTAACGAATGTAACTGAGCTTCATGCAGTTATAATGCTTCATCTTGATCTCATGTTATCGTGTTTCAGTGTTCGTCTGAGTATTCTTAGCGTATAATAGTAGTGTAGCCGAGACTAACAATGGAGGCAGTTTGATAAATAATTTATTTTATTTGAAATATTTTTTGTAATTCGTACACAAACTATCTGTCTATTATATTACTTTGTAAACTAAACAATGCACATCAATTGTGATATTGTGGCTAAGCTCTCGTTGATTAACTGATTTCGAAATGAGTTTGATTTTTATGAAACTGTATTATACATTTTTTTACATTTAAATAAGTTTTGTTAAGATATAAAATGAGTTAAGTTGTACGCGTTAAAGACGCCTTGATGCTATTAATTGAAACCGTCTTAAAATTTAAAGTTTTGATGGTGTGAAGAAATAACACACGTTAGGACAAACGCACAAGTGAAAAATCATCGTCTCTTGTAACAAATGTATTTACTTGTGTAAATATCCATATAACAAAAAGCCGTTGCAATCATAAAAAAAAATATAGCAATTTAAAACTTGTTACAGCACAGTGAGCTCAACAAATAAACTATTGTTAATAAAGACAGCACATCAACCTACTCCAAACGCATCTATTTTATTCAATAAAATACAGTACCTTATTACAATACAGTGAAGCTGAAAATATTTCAAAGAATTTTGACTGATTGGTAAACGTTGACCTGCTGTCGGTTTGTATATAGTATGATCAGTCTGGTTAACCTCAGGTGACCATATGACCACACCGTTAGGACCTCACGCATGACCATTGGTATCGCATAATACCGCCGTAATGAACAGGTTTGATTCGCATGTCATTCTCGGCAAATGTCAAACAGGCTAATTTTGGGTCATCTGTTTGAAATGGATATCTAACATTAAGATGAATTGAGATAAAATGAAGCAAACAGTCGACGGTAATAATAAAAACTAAGCATCTTCAGAATCCTGTAATTACGCTCAGAATTAAACCATTAATAAAAAAGTCTTCAACAATCTTAATCCGCAAGAACCGTTTGTTCACAATGAGTTTGTAAACCACGTTTAACAGAAGACCAGTTGAGCACCGAATTAAAAAACAAACTGTATTTTGGCCACAAAAATGTGAGTATGTGACCACTATGTGGGTTTACGAGCGAGGCTCGTTCGTATGTGGGACACGTCCGCCTAGTATTTAGAACTGCTCGAGACAGATTTGTGTACACAAGTGAGCTTAAGTGGGTATTTTTTAAGCTTTTGATTTTGACTTTATCGATCCTTTAAGATGGATTAAAAGACTCCGAATCATTTTCAGAAAAGATAGATAAAAATAAATCGCGTTCTTTTAACATCATAACATCAGCTACAAGCTATCAAAGTCAAAGAATTTCAGTAATAACTCCATTGTAATGTAATGAGAACGAAAACCACGATTTCATTTCATTAATGAAGCTTATGAGCAAAAAATTTAAAGACTACATACTTGGAAACGAGCTCCCATCATACTTACACACAGCTTATTGCACAGTGCAATTTCCTTAAACCCTTAACGCATAACCGGCGTAACCGAATCTTTCACAACAATTTTAATATTTTCATACTAAAATGAGTCGGGGTACAATTTCGGCGGCTAATAAGCGGTTGTCAGTCACTATGTACTGAGGAGCTGGGAACAGGTTCCTTTAGCTAACGGGATCGGAGTGACCCCAATAAAGTTTTCGGAAACTTTACTCGGTAAGGACACCGTGAGATGATATGCTCACTGCTTTATAGATTCTCTACTGTGACGGATATGAGTTCTTTAGATTTATACACGAATCTAGCGTTTTGTAAATATTCGGAAATAAGAAGGATTTTTGTACGTTTAAATCATGTTGTAATTTCAGAAGAAAAGAAAATAACATCTGGTGTTAGGAGATGCATATCAAAAATGTATGTCTTACGCAATTCACTGCCACACATAAATAAAGCCCTAAAAGGGATCCGGACAAAAACGCAACAATGTTGTGCATAAAATAAAAAATCCAAAAATAACATCTCCCCAGTGGGCGAGCACTGTACACTGCACAGTATGCAAATTCCTTAAAAGCCTGTTCCGTCTTGCTATATT